GACCCTTCTCATGGCTTTCAGCAACAAAGAAAAACCTGCCTACTTGCCATACATATCTGAAGGTTGACTAGAGTCAAAATTACTTATTTAAAATATATAGGTCAGTCACTTATTATTAGAGGCCTGCTATTTATTTTCTGTCTGCTCGACTATTCAAAAATATTTCTTTCTTGCTTGCTTTCTGCTTTCGTTCTTTCTTGCTTTCATTTTTTTTTCTTTTTCTTTCTTGCTTTCGTTCGTTCTTTCTTTCGTTCTTTCTCCCCTTAATATATTTTTTGGAAGTCTCCCGTTTCCGTTTGCTGGCTTGAAAGTAAAAGAACAAACACGTCTAATCTTTACTTTGTTACTGTTGTGGCTGTTGAAACAATTGCTGTGGTTTTGGCGGGGGTGGGAGGGGGAAGAAAAAAAAGGGGGGGAAAGAAGACAACGGCCACGTCCCTGATTCTATTTTTCCACAGAAAAGCCCCAGTTACCCTAAGACAATGTTCGGCCTCAAAGGCGAACCCTGGTGTTTCTGGTTGCTGAGGTGAGCTTACCTACAAAGGAGCAGGGCACCGCATCAATACCCAGTGACCAAAGGTGCGGCGGAAGATGCGAAAACCTGTTTCGAGGATTTAGGTTTTTCTAATTGTCGCTGTTATTACTTATTTATTTTGTCGTCTCTGTGGGCAGCGGACGAGCCGATGGGCGATGCGTGGTGCGGGGCCGGCCGTGCCTGGGCGAGCGAGCGGCGGGAGGGCAGGGGGTCCCGGTGGGCTCGGCTCTGCCCCGCCGGCAGCCGCCGTGACCCCGGCAGAGCCGAGCTCCAGCCGCCTCGGCGCGGGGAGGCTGTGCCGCACTTGGGAAATGCAGCAGCGATCGCTCCCTCCCTCCCTCCGTGCCCGGGGGGGTGAAGTGCGAGGCAGCGGGAGGAGCCGTGTGTGTGTGTGTGTGTGTGCGTGTGCGAGCAGCGCCGTGGCCGCCGTGTTTCCTGGTGCCTGCTCCCTGACCCCAGTGGCAGCCCCGATCACTGCACCGCGCCCGCCCTCGCCGCCGCCCCGCAGCCGCTCCCGCAGCCGGACCGGGCCGGAGCCGGACCGGAGCCGGAGCCAGGGCCGCCGCCGCCGGGCGCCGCCGCGGGGTCGGGCGCAGGCTCTGCCCCGGCCGCGCCCCCGCAGCCCCATGGAGCGGCCCCGCTGCCCGCGCTGAAGGCATCCCCGACCCGCCCGCAGCGGCAGCCGGCGGAGGGAAGGTGAGCGGCCCCGGGCCGGTGCCGGGAGCAGGGGGGCACGGCGGGGGCAGCGGCGCACAAAGCGGCGGGTTAGAGGTGCCGTGTCATGGGCGAGAGCAGCCTCCCGCAAACAATAATGAGGATAAACCCGGA